TGCTGGTGTCGTGGCTGGCACGGGGGTTCCAGTGGCAGCAGCGACAGCAATGACTATCACTGCCCCCGCTCCTCACTCTCACACTGGGTCCCACCCACTGGGCCGTGCGGGTGGCTCCTGCCCATGCTGGTCTAGCCAGGCTGTAGCCCCATGCCTGCTGCGGGTGCATAAATCTGGGAAGGTGTATATCCCACATTCTACACCCTCCTCTCCCACCCCACACACCCACCCTCTGTCCCACACAATGGGGGGCTGTATCCTGGGGGTGGGGGCAGCGGGTCGGGAGTGAGGGGCACCAGCAGGACTTAAAGGGCTGTGGGGCTGTGGTTTGGGAATCAGTGGCACGGGCAGGGCCAGGGAGCTGTTTTCTATGTAAACTATATACTGGGTCGGGACTGGTCATCAATGTTTACAAATGGGTCCTGGTACAAAAAAGGTTGAGAACCACTGGTCTGTATGAGTGTGGTAAGTTCTAATTGGCTAGTACTGTTTGGCTTTGTAGTCATTACCTGTGTCCTACCCATCAAGAAGGTAAAACCCAACCATGGATGGTTCGCCAAGATTTCATTTTGAGGCCTGGTTTATAAGAGACATACTTTTGTGTGCCAGGTACCCCTTTTCCATTGCTGTTTTGTTCTTAAAATAATGCATTCTGCAGGACATCAGCAACTGTTTTATTGAACTGGTGGCATTCTACAGACTTGTATTATGAGTGAACAACTTTAAGCATTAGCCTAAACTTCTGCAATGTAGGAACTGTTGTCACGAAGTGCAATTCAGATGGCATTGAAGGAGCTAGGCTTTTTTTTTCCGTTTACAGAAATATAGTCGCATCACAGTGGAGCAGGTTATGCAAATCAACCGGTAGATACTGAGGATACAGACACTAATTACATGTTAAATTGGCGAACTAATCTATTATTCTTTGTTCTTAGATGTCAACAAAGGTATATTTGTCTCCAGTCAGCTTTGGCAAAAGTGTCATCCAAAAGTGTCAATGAGAAGGATGTTGATAAATTTCAACTGTACCATAATTTTTCATGCAACATAAGGAACATCCAACATCATCAGGTATATGTTTGAATATGCTGTTTTCTTTCTAGATAGCTAATGTGAGCCCCATGGCAAAATATGCTGCCTTAATTACTTGCTTAAAAACTGAATTTATTAATTTTTCAGTAACCCGAGTTTAAAAAAAACCAAACGAAAAACAGTTTCTTGACAAAGTAACCTAGAAGAGTAAACTACTTGTTAGGAGACTGTGTGTTCAAGATCAGTGAGAGACATAATGTGACTGATGATCTCTCTTTTTTGCAAAGCAACAAGCACATACCAAATATATGAAGGAGAAGGATGAAAGCTAAGTAGTTAATCCTGAGAAAAAGGAGAATATAGGATACTTACTAGGTATTAACTAACAGCAATGCTGCGAGCCAAAGTTAGATTTAGAAAACTGTGAAATAGAATCAAGCAAACTTTCTTAGTGGTTCATCCATCACGTCCCTCATGGGGTTTGCTAGAATGCTGAGTTGGCTCAGAAACCATCCCTATGGACAGAGAGTGCTCTGAGCCACTTGGCACTAAACCTGTCAGTTGAAATTGGTGTGAAGCAGCAGGAAAAGGTTAGAAAATTGTAGTTAGAGGTGACCTGCAAATGTAGTATTTAAAAAAAAAAAAAAAAAAAAAGACGAAGAAAAAAACCCCAGCAACCTCACTTCTCAGTCAAGTGCTCCAGATAACAAGGTCAAAAGAAGCATTCAGCAGACAATCAACTGAAAATATAGGTGTGTTTCCTTGTGTGGCAGGTGATCACAGTCTTGTCTTTTGTGAAGCCTTTCCAGTCATCCTAAATTATAATAGTAAATCTATATTGCTTAAAAGTGTTATATGACTTCAAAATGGTAACCTCTCCACTGGAAAGGAACTTCTCTATTGGTGTGCAGTGTTTCTCACCACCATCAGTTTATAGCTTCATCAGTAATCCACAAGAAATGCCCCCCAAACTTATAGGTGGCTGTTGTTTGCCCCCTTCCCTGAATGCCTTTCCTTTATGTTAGTGTTAGTGTCTATTTTCTTCTCCTGTCACCATATTAAAAAGCCAAATGAGGTTCTGCTTGCTAACTTCTGATTTTGACTTCTCTTTCAATTCTGCTGAGTTTTTTTTAAAATGGATTTATTGTACTAAACACTTTGCCAGACAGGTACCCATGTCTGAAATTAGTCCATGTATCATAAAACAAAGATTACATTATTTTAAGCAATCTGGGTCTTGGGGAAAGGATGAATTATTATTAGTGTTTTAATATCTGAGTGGTCTGTATAAATGTGTAAGAGGTTCTTGCATTGCTGTTTGTATTAAGCTTGAATGTTTATAGCGTTTTATTGTATTACAGTAATTGGCCTGCAGAGGTTTACATTAATGAGGTCTGGGAGAGCTCAGTAGTGCAAGGTTCACTTTTATAGCATCTCATACATTTTATCATAAAATACTGTAGTGAGAATTTTGCAGGTCATTATCAGGGAGATTACATTTTGTTCGCTGAAAAAAAGAACTCTTCGGGTCACTGCAGACTGACTGGAGTCTTTTAGTACCGACAGCAAAAGAAATAGGCTGCTTTATTATGGTACCTAGTGCCCTCTAGTATAAAAGTATAATTCTCAAGGCATTTTACAAAGGAGGTCAGTATCATTGTTTTATAGTTCAGGATAGTGAGGCATAGAAGGGCAGAGACCTGCTTGATGTTACTCAGCAAAGCAGGGGCACCAACAGGAAGAAAATCCAGGCCTCAAGTCAGAGGCTAGAGCTGTTAGCTTATGCTGCCTCTCGCATTGGGTATGTCCTTCTATTGGCTATTTGGGTGTTAAAAATAAATAAATATCTATAGCATTCATTAAATTGGAAAACGTAGAGAGGGAAAAATCCTTGTTTTTTTTTCTTTAGTCTATTTACAGTTCAGGGGTTTGCTACATAACACATTTTCACCATTTAAAAAAAATTAGTATTTTAAATATCACAGGTAAGGTGGTTTTTACTGCTTCATTTTTCCACAGCTTAATAAATAGAACTCTTTTCTTTTTGTGCTGAGAAAAAGCTTTAAAAAGTGTACAGCCATTCAAGGGATTTCTTGCAACAGAGTACTGGAGTTATATCAGATACATACCAGGAAGATCTTCTTCCTATCACTAACATGAACTACGCTTCTTTCAGATGCTGAGGATACTCAGTATTCCACAGTTCTTTGTTCCCCCTCTCTTCCAGGGGAGAGAGAAGGAAGACTGACTCCCTAATAACCCACCAAGTGGCAAGCTGTTAGGGAGGCTTGTGGGAATCCTGCCTGTCCACCCCTCCTTCCTCCTGTCATTCCCCTCACCCCCCACCATTCACCTGATGGCAGAGAAGGCATTCTTCTGTAGCAGGAACCCTCCCCAAGCACCAAATGGTTGCTGCCGGGGAGGATGATGCTTCCCACCCCCCAAATCCTATGGGTCAAACCAGAGGAGTGCATAGAGATGGAGATAAAAATGTTTTTCTAACCTTGCACTCACTAAGAGGGTGGTGAAGCACTGGAATGGGTTACCCAGAGAGGTTGTGGAATCTCCATCCTTGGAGGTTTTTAAGACCCAGGTGGATAAAGCCTGGGTTGGGGTGATTTAGTTGGGGATGGTCGCATGCTGAGCAGGGAGTTGGACTAGGTGATTATCTGAGGTCCCTTTCAACCCTCATTTTCTATTATTCTATGAACTGCAGACTATTCTCCAGAGGAAAAAAATCCCCTGCCTACTCCTCCCCCCCATTCCCACACACACATTTCGTCAGTCAGTTGATTGGTGGGATGGGGGAGGTATTCTCCTAGGGCTGGAACCCTCCCAGGACTGTCTGCCAGGGGCTGCTTTTCTGTCACCTATATTTTGACAGCCTGCACCCTTCCCAGGCAGGGGAGAGAGCAGGCTGTCCATCAGTGACATCCCCTAAGGGTGAGGGGTAACCTAAGGAGTACACCTGAAGTGCTAATTGAGATGTAGCCAGCTTATTGAGCACCCAGGGTTGCAGAGATGGTGCGCACACATACTGAGCACTGGGGCAAGGGGGAAGGGAACAGACGGACAGGTGTGGATGAAGGGAAGGGAAGACTTACCTTCCTGCTGTAGCAGCGTCAGCTCCATTCCAGCATCGGCAGCCCTGTGGTCAGGCTCCCTGTGAGCCCGTGTCCTGTTTGCTCCCCCCTCCCTCCATATATGTATATTGGACATAGGGCTGCTTCCTGGCAGGGGAATTGCGGAATGTTAAATACAGACAACCAAACAAAGGATATTTCTTCTTTAATTTCTCTAAACTAGAGAAGTCTTATTCTTTCCTTAACCAGTCTATAATCTAGATTCAATTCTTTTCTCTTCTGAAATCCTTATCTCCAATGAAGCCATAGCCTTCCTTCATTGTATTCATTAGCCTGCCTTCCTGCTGGGTCTGTCCAACCTTTGTAGTTGTTGTCTTCTGACTTTTCCCTGGAGTCTATATTGCCAGTATCACTGGTACAACTTTTACAGTATTGAATATTTCTCTGTTACGTATCTGAGAGTCCAGGTCTTTGCTTGTATTGCAGCAAACGGCTTATATTGCAGCACAAGGGCTCCATTGTGCTAGTCAATGTATAAACATATATTATATGCCAATCTGTGCTCTAAAGTGTTTGAAATCTAGATCCTATGTTTTTAATACTACCAAAACCCTCTATTCTGTTGAATCCCCTTTTTATTTTTCGAGTATCTTTGTCTTCTTGACTTTTTGGTAAGAAATCTTCTCTCCCACTGTCTGCTTCTTAACTTTGACCTTGGCATTGTGTTTCAAAAAATCTTGGTCATTCTCTGTCCTGAAATACTTTCTTGTCCAATCCATGCAACCCTGATAAAGCTAAATGGTCATTCTTTTTGCTTGTGCTCTTGGATTAGAGCTCTTTCCTTGTGGATCAGTGAGTTTCTTTTCTTTAATGCCTTCAAAAATCTTTCTTTTCTCCTTCATTTGTGACCTTTGGGAAAGAATACTGTGGTCTTTTGCATTAAGAAGGCTGGATAGGGACATATTTCTGCATGTAAATTGAGCAGAAGAGTAGATAGAACATTTTTTTTTAAATTCATTTAACTATTTTGGTGCAGGCTTCTTATAAGAAACATGTCTATACATGATGTAAAGAAGTTAGAAATTTATGGAATAATCTATACATCTCGTAAGCCTCTAGTATTTTATGTGATATGGTGGTGTTGGACTAGAATGTTAAAGACCTTCACTCTAATCCGTTGGTGACTTTGTTCAGAGATAAGAGATCTGCAGCATGTCTTTTATTGGCTATAAAAGTAGGAAACTTCTGTAAGTCACATTTACAGTAATTAAACCTATTCTGTTTGGGGAAAAAATTGTGAGAATGTTAAACCCTTGAACTGGGAGATACTATGACGTTAACTTCTATATATGCGTGTATAAAACTTTCTTCTGTGTTCACATTAGAATAGTTTGTTAATTATATACAAGTACTACTGGTCAGAGAGAAAAACTTTTTTTTTTCTTTCAGTGACCAGAGATTTATCTTCCCTTTTTATGCCATATATAGTGTACATTAAAATCAGGTACATATTTAAAAGTACAGAACAAGTAGCTCTTTTATAAATGCTTCAAATTTTGTATAATAGAATCCTAGTAAAAGTATTTAATCACAAATAATAAGAACTGGAAAAAAATATATAGTCCTAGATGTCGAGTAAATACTTAATCTTCAGAGTTTGGACAAAACAAACATTTATGCACAATAAAAAGACAAATGTATTGTGTTGTTTTCCATGTATACCTACTTGTCTTGATGCTCCCATCTAGAATGTTTTACTGTAAGTTAAAGCTTATAGTTATGTACCTGTTTTTCTAATGGGAATGAGACTCCATCTTGTCTCTTCTAGGATTAAAAGTATTCAGGCCAAGTACATATGCCTATATAGTAATCACATAATAAATAATAGAAGGAACCACCCTCATCATATGGAAGATGTCTGACTTTTAAACAGATTAGTGCTTAAGAGCCAGTCTCCTGGGTATTTCTTTTCTATAACATGTAAATAGGAGACTTAATTGATGGGAAAAGACTGTTACATAAAATAAGATACTTTAGGTATAATAGCCTTTTATACTTTTATTAAATGTGTCATTCCAGGTGGGTATTGAAAATTATTGAAAAATATAAAAGAAGTATAAAGGTATCCAGAACTGAGGTATAGTCCAGAGCTTTGGTATGGATAAATGTAGTCTGGAAGTTCTCTGAAGTGATGCCCAGCATGTTTTGTAGTTGATAGCTGGAATTGGGTCAGATGCATCTCTTTGTGTCCCCTGATTAAATCCCTATTCCTATTTTTGTTGTTAGAAGGTATGTTTTTTTCATCTTTAGTTGATGCTAGTGAAGCTCCTATCTGTTGGGTCCATTCCAGTCTATAACCTATTTGCATGCACTTTTTCACTCTGGAGAAAAAAACACTTTGTGCCTGTTTTTGAATATATCACATAAAATGAATATAATCAGTGTATTGGAAGAGTAAATTAATTTCCTGCCATTTTAAATGGAGACAACTTCAATTTATATATATTTTTCTATATACACATCATTTGTAACTGGATAAATTGGTTGCTTAAAAAATTAAGTTGGTAAAATCATTTTCTAGTCAGATGTTAACCTTTTTATAAGATTCCAACTCAAAACATTTTTGAAGCTTAGTTAAAAGCCTTTATAAATACTGTTTTAATGCAAATGCTGACCATTAATAATAGTGTTGTGAATGGTGACACTATAATTCAGTGTCAGATATATTATTCGTCTTGAACATCATTTTGATTTCACTTTAGCTTAACATTTAACTTTATCTCTGCTTTATGAAACTGGAATAAACATGAAAGCATTTGATTTGTTAAAATGTGTCTTTCTAATCTCTGCATGAAAACATTTGCTTTGGCAGTCAAGGTACCTGATGCTATAATATTTCACATGTAATTTTTATTATTAGGTTTGTTGTTCAGTGATATGTCAGGCCTGGTATGTCACAAGCACAGTAAAAGCTGAGGAATATAAATGGGTACTATGTCCTGGAGTCATTTTAAACCATTGTATTTAACATATGTGACATGTCTGAGTTAGCTAGTGATTGAATTAAAGTTCATGATTGACACAGAATGCTCTGTTGTGACAGTGCTTAGGGCCTGTAACATACAGCAACATGTGCAGTAATATAAGAATGTCAACTTTTAACAGCTTTTTATGATTTCTGTGTTTCTAACATTTAAGCAGTATTTAAAGAAGTTTTATTTCTAGTAAAAATAGGGAAATAACATTGTTCTGTTTTCCTTACAGTCCTAATCTATTACGTACCTAATGTAGTATGTGTATTAGATCCATTATTCAGAAATGTTATCTTCTAAAAGTTGCTAATAAGGGGCTAGTCCAGATCAGCTCTTCTAAACATCTCTGGCCTGTGGATTAGACTGATAACTATTCTTTGAATTCTGAACCAAGTTTTGCACATATACTGACAGATGTCTGCAGGTACTGTATCCACAGTCTCTGTAACTTAGATTTGTATACTGTTTGTAAATGTAAATACTGAGTTCGTGAGCGGATTACTTCTGTAAAACAAGTCATGTCTGAAATATGTGCATAGTTTTAAAGGCTGGAGTATTTTTATCAACTTGAAAACGAGATCCAAAAGGCATTTATACACATACCTTTTCATCCCGTGACATGCTGGAGATCCGGCGGGCGGATCGGAGCAGACTCGATTAATCGAGTCTGCTTGACACGTCAGCTGATGTGCACTGCACTGTCACGTGCAGTTGTATAAGTGGCGAAATGTGTGTCAGCATGCAGAAAATGGTGGCAGTGTGCATTTGAACTAAAACACCTTCAGTGTGTTTTAGTTCAAAAGCATGCCACTGCCATTTTCTCACGTTTTAAAAGCGTCTGGCGCTGCAGCGTAAGCATGTATACAAATGCCCAAAATATTTGTTTTTGGGAAGTTTCCTAGGAGGTGAGTAATCAGAAGTTCAGCTATTACAAATTAAATTAATTAGACTTTTATCAGGCAGTCTGCTCCATGTTGAATGATTTCAAATTTGGTTGCTGTCACTATAGATAAGGATATAGGAGCATAACACTGAATCTCTCTGTGTGTTCTTTTTTTATTTGAATTGCTCTCCGTATAGTTAGTATGAGTTTCAGTTAAGGTTGTAGAAGGGTAATAACTGGTTATTAATTTACTGATTCATCCACTGAGTTAATTTTCCATTAAAATATATATATTCTTTTCCCATAATGTGTGCATGTGCACATGCACAATATTAACAGAAAATTAACTCAGTGGCTCAACAAGTAATTAACAAGAGTTTATTGCCCTTTCAGAACCTCAGTTGAAACTCATTCTCTCTCTCTCAAATCTATAGATATATATCTAGATCTATAGATACACATCCAGATCTATATCTATCTATATCTCTATATATATATAGAGAGAGAGACAGATATATAGGAAAAGCTTCTGAAATGAGATTTGCTATCACTGAGAGAACCATATACCGCAGTCTCGTATGGCATGATTTAATCTAATTGAAATGTTGGATATTATCTATTCAGACCAACGCTTTGTGAACTGATTTACTATTCAACCAACACGAATTGCTGCAGAATGTCAAGCGAGTGCGTACACAAATGTTGACTTGATAAGTTTATCTTTTGGGTATTTTGTGTGTCATCTGTCTTTGCCATTTATGTTTGCACTCAGATTCTGGCCATTAACCGAGGGGAAAATCTGAAGATACTGACAGTGAAGGTCAATGTTCCTGACGGGGTGAAGAATGAATTCTGTAGGTGGTGTGTCAATGAAAGGTCTGTATATATATTCTTACAGAAGTCTTTTTTTTTTTTTTTTTTTTCTACAGACAGCTACACGCTGAAATGTACGTCATATATCTTGTTCCATAAAGAAAAATAATTTAAACAAATAATTTATCAGAAGACCTTACTTTCAGAACAACTAGGGCTTGTTCTGTGTTTCTAACTACTGCCAATATGATGATCAGGAATACGATGCTTTTGAATATGAAATGTGAATTATAGAGTCAAGCTTTGAGCAATTCAAATTATCAAATTTTCAGTGATTTATTTAAATGTTGAATGCATTTTGGACTTTTTATAGTAGGGTTTCTACACAGTGAGAATACTGTGAAGGATTATTTAGGATTAAATACATCATTGAAGATCTTCAGTTTCATGTGCCTGAAATAGGCCATTTGTATTCCTATACAAATGAAAAGAATGTTTCCATTCCTAAGTAATATTATATTATTTCCCCCCACAATGTAGCTACATGAAAGTCAGGATAGCTGGATACTTTGGAAAGCATTCTCTACATATTATGAATAAGTTTCATTTATTATTTTAATAATTAAAATCCAATTCATTCTTTACTTGCCAAATCTAAATGTGTTTCTTCCTCCGTCCATAATTCCTATCATAAATATCCTGTGTATGGTTTATGTAGTCTTATGGTAAATACTAGGACTGGGAATCCAGATTTATGCGTTAAATTTCTAGTTCTTAATCAGTTGCTTTGTGACACGCAGCATATTGTTATCTTCAGTTTATCTGTCTCTCATGGGGTCTGCTTGATGTTCACAAAGTACTCTGAGATTCTATGATGAAAAGAATGGCATAAATACTTGCAGTACTAATATTTTTCTCTAGTATTTCACTGTTTCTATGTCTTTTGTCCATTTCCTTACTTGCTTCCTTCTCTTGTTTGTCAACAAAACCTGAACAGCCTGCTTTGGAGGGCAATACTTTCCTGATGTTATGTGTTTTTCAGGCTTGCATGCACAAGTAATTTGGGTTGATTTTTTTTTCCATTGAATTAAAGGATGTTAAGACATCCAGCTCCCCTGGAAGTCTTTTTGGGAATTCTAGCTTTGGTGTCTAAAATTTAGTTACTGTGAAATAGACAGGAAAGAAAAAATGCTGTTATTTGATTACATAAAGATGGATATATGCTGTAATACTCAATTTAAATTAATGTTTTCCCTTTGCTGAAAGAAAGGAAGTGGAAAAGGTAAGGTACATTTTTACACTGTAGAAGGTTGCTTGATCCATTTTCAGTTCCTTAACAGGATTAAAACATGCTTTTGTCTTAGTATTGTGAATCTTAATTGTAATAGCTATGGACTTTCTCCAGGTAGACTCCTGACTACAGTTAACATTCATTTTATCTTTGATATATGCTTCAGACCAAATTGCCTGCTCAACACAATACTGTCTACCATGTAGGCAGACAATAACTCTGAGTGCTCTTGTCTTAAAAGCTGCATCTACAGCAACAGTGTGAGTCACTGCCATGGAACAGTTTGTCACTGGTACAAGAATGAAAGTTTAAAATGTAAATTTTTATTTTTGTTTGATTTTTTTTTTTTTTTTTTTTTTTTGAGTCATTCTGTGGTAAGAGAAATAGTTGCTTCGGGAATCCAACTTTTATTCATTTAAGTGCCCTAACATTTAAGAGTCCAATATAATATCTTAGTTTTTACTAATTAAGGGCAATTTATTTTCCTCAACCAAAAAATTGTACGGGAGCAACTTTTAAAATGTATATTGGTGCATGAAAATCTGTGCAATGTTCTATGCTTTTCCACACTGTCTAAAACTATTGTTGATGGCAGAAGTTGTTTTCTACCAAAAACAATTTCCTATCCATCCTTGGCTGGCTATCTCCAAACTTGTAGTGGCCATCCACTTTTCTGTTGGCCTAATGGTCTGCAGCGTGGAAACACTCATGCTCTATGGCAATGGTTCCCAACCTGTTTGCCCCATGGGCTGAATGGACAGTGCCCAGTCCTCCGTGGGCAGGATCCAGCCAGTGACTCTTATCTGGCTTTGGGGATTTTACAGCCTGGCCTTGATCCATCCTCCTGGGATGGAGGCAAAGTAGAGTAGCCCTGATCTGGACATGTGGTGTGGGAGGAAAACAGCTTGGTCCCAATTCCAATCTGGATGCGTCAGATGGTCATGAGGCAGGGTGCTGCAGGGTGGCCCTGATCTGGATGGGCCTGGGGGAGGGACAGAGCAGTCGCACCTGGGGTTTGGGCAGAGCAGCCCTAATCCCGATGCATGGCAGTGGGAATGGGGAAGCAGCCCAGTCCCATTCCCAGTCCATGTGCCCTGGTGTAGCTTGATCTGGATGGAGGGGGTAAGCGTAGGGAGGGGAGGGGAGGGGAGTAACTTGGCCTAGAATATTTTAGCTCTGATCTGGGTATATGTATGGTGTGGGGATGTGGAGCATCCTGGCCCAGTTCAGACACACAGGGGGTGGCCCAGCCCTGATTTTGCTGCATGGGCAATGGCCCAGGGGAGGCTGCATCCAGCTTCATGGAGCTTCCACCTCTCCCCCAATCCCAAGTTTTCCAGTCTGTGGGGCTCTCTGTGGACTGGATATCGTAGCTCCATGGGCCATATGTGACCTGCAGGCCAGAAGTTGAACAGCCCTGTTCTATTGGCTCATAAGTTTGAATCTTGATGGGTTGATGTTAACAGGGCTCAGAAGGAATATCCAATAGCCTGCTTCATTAGTTGTTTTTTTAACAAGTCCTGTCTACTCTGCACAATGCAGATGTCAGTCTGCCAAGTAAGTATCCTCTGCATTACTTCTCGTCATTCTATATATTTGATTTCTGTAAACCTGAGACTGTCATTAAAAAGGCACTGAATTGCCAAAAAACTGTAACCAAAGAACTCCTCCCCCCTCATTGTCAGGTTTGTTTTCTTTTTCCCTTTACAACAGTGCTACCTAACCTTTATGGGCTTAATGCGTAGTCCCATGGGATTTATGGACTTAATGCATAGTCCCATGTTAACCCTCTCCAATCTACTTGCTAAGCATGGTAGCTGGTGCCTGAAGCAGCAATTGAGCTGGCTTACAGCAAGTGAGCTGCTACATGCAGTGTCGAGTATGCTGGTGAGGCTTGTGTGTGGAAATAGCACTGTTTACAGGAACTCATATAAAGAACTATTTACAGTCAGAAATAACTGTCTTGCTACAGCCCTTTATGGGCTGGATAGGTTCTTTGGGATCAGTCCATGGGCTGGATCTGATGCACATTGTCAGTCTGTGGGCCTGATCCAGCACAGGATTAATGCATGGATGCAGTCCAGCTCATAGCCCAGGCCTCCATGCTCAATTGGGCCTGCTGCCCTGGTCCTGCCACTGGCCATATGTGTTAGATTGGCCCTGGGACTGGCCATGTGTCTGTGGGCCTAGGCTCAGCCCTTGGCCCCAGTCCTGGCCTCAGCCCTGCATACACTGCATCAGGTCTGCTATCCCAGCCCTATATGCTGGCCTGCTTTGGTGCACAGGGCCATGTGAGCTTGTCAGAGGGGGAGAGCTTGAAAATGTGGTGTCAGAGGAGCTGTGACAGTGTTGACTGCCACTGTTCCCCCTCTGCCAAATTTTGGACTTGTGAGGAATCCCTTAAGCTAGCTGACATGGCTCCGTGGACCAGAGGTTGAGCACCACTGCTTTACAGTCATAGTCAAAGACTGAAACTGTTCAGTACTTTTCATAGAATGTGTTAGTTATACCTTGCTCAGTGCTTTAAATCAGCATCCTTGTATACCTTTAGGGCCAGATTGAGATGATTCTTTGAATTGTTATCACCAGTGCTATCAAATGCACAGGAAGTAATAAGTTGTAATGATCTGTATGTTGTAATTATGCAGAAGAACTGGGCTGTAGGGTGGGAGGTTAGTCATCCCTGTAATTAATAATCTGAATTTTCAGAACGGGCCTATTATCATATCACGGGGTGGTACTCCAAGATCAAATATTATTTTTATAGTAAAGGATCTAAAAAGCAGAGCCATTCTGAAAACTTACATTTTTTTTTTCAAATTTAAACATAATTATTGGTCATCCTGAAGGCCAATTACTCATTTTAGTGGAAAGTTATTCTTAAAAGAAGAATGCTTTATTAGCTTGGGGTCAGGGGAAGAAGATAGAAGTACTGTACTTATTTGATTATTGCACACACCTTTACTCCCAACATCAGTCTTCCAAAATTGGGGTGTGTTTATTAAGCAGGAAAGCTGACTTTTCTTCACTGAAATAGAAGCAGGGAAGAATAGAAGAATGTAGACACTATACTAAAATGGCTGCCACTTCTTTCTGGCCCCAGAAAGCAGAAGGGGTGGAGTCCCATGTTAACCCTCTCAGAGCTACTTGCTAAGCACGGTAGCTGGTGCCTGAAGCAGCAATTGAGCTGGCTTAAGGCAAGTGAGCTGCTACATGCAGTGTCGAGTATGCTGGTGAGGCTTGTGTGTGGAAATAGCACTTTGTTTACAGGAACTTATATGAAGAACTATTTACAGTCAGAAATAACAGTCTTGCTACAGCATTTGCAAGAGTTCAAGGCTTGGCCTTATTGCTCCCCTGCCATACCAGGAAGTTCTTGCAGCCTCACTCAAACTGTCTCCTGGGATGCCACACTTCCCAGACACTGTTTCCAGGTGGACTTACCCCGTTGCACAGTCAGCCATGATTTGGGAAAAATCTTTTTCTATATTCTACCTTCCAAAAACAATGTGCGCATCTTATTTTGGGGCATGTGGTATGCAAGGAAATATACCAATTTAGTCATCTACATCAGGACACAGTTGGATTCTCTGTTCTCCATTTTTAAAATAAATTGCTGCTTTTTAAATTAAAAAGTAGATAAGGGCAGGCTCAAGCTTGTCTATTCCTGGCCAATCCCCCACTCCCACTGCCTGGCCCTTTTGCAAGGAGGTAAGCACTGTAATAGCTTTTAAAATGTAAGTACCACTTGATTCACAAAAGTTATGGAGGG